GTCACTGTGTGTCTAACAAGGTAGAAAGCTGTTTCATTATGTCCAGTGCTTGTGTGAGAAAATGACAGTGATGGACTCAGCGATAGGCAGTGAGTCAGAAGTCTCCTCATTTTTGACTTTTAATTATAGCCAGCTGTCATAGAGTTAAACACTTACTGCTTTGAAATGGAAAAGATGCAAAGATGTAGGACTTGGAATGTGAATAAGCAGCCTCTTAGTTTCCTGTATTCTCGGTAGGAGTGACTTTGCTGTTGTCAGATAGATTTAAACCATTATGGGTTATCAGTATATAGCAAAAAAGTACAAATTTAATAGCTGTAAACAGCGGATGATGATGTTAGGAAGGTACCATTCTCAGAGCAGACGTTTATATCCATTGAACAGGTACTGAATGGGGCCTTTAATATGTGGAGTATGTGGCATCTTAACCTGTGAGATACATTAAGAAACTGAAAAGAATGACCTGAAACAAGATGACCTAAAACATAATGTGCATTATTTTGACAGTATCCTTCACCAAAGCATCCCAGCAAGATGTCTTGGTGATAATGATCAACATATGTTTTAAGAAGCAGCGTTAGTATATGAATAATGCAATGATTCTTAGAATTAGCTCTGAAACATAACAATCTAATATTGCAGGTGATTTTCCTGAAAATTTCACGCTGGAGACATTTCTGGCAAAACTGCAGTGTCTCCTTGTCTGCCAGGACACAGAAGGTGGCTGATTCTGAGGGCTGTTCATCCAATTCACTTCCCTGTCAATCGACTTTCCCGCATGCTTTGTTAGTTGGAGTGATTTGACCTCCACTGTCTGTTGTAGGGGTCTGTATGCATTTTAGCGAATGTTCCACGGATCCATGGACTAGGTCATTTATTTAAATGTAGACAATATGCGCATGTAAAATATAAATAACATGTATTTCATTAAATAAAGTTTTATTCCAAAAATGCAATCTCACCATTTTGCATATGTATATTTTTAAGTGTAATTCAGATAAATTTCTAATAAATATGTATTCATACATAGCGCATCCCAAAACAATAGGTTTCAGTACTTTACATGTTTTATTGTACTTCCAAAACTTTTTTTTTTAATTGATTTCTTTCACTTGGTATTTCGCTGCATTCATTGGACGTCACAGACCAGGAAACATCACTCATTGTGCAACAATGCAGGAGCCAAACTTGAGGCATCACAATTTCTCGCCATGAAACCTCCGTCAGTTTCATTGAAGCAAATCCATGATTTTCCTCATGATTTAGCAGAAGACAGATGCACACATGCATGGAAACGCACATGAGCAGACAGACAGAAACTATGTATAAAGAAAAACAGTAATTTTCGAAAATCGTGGCGATAAAGGTAGTGATGAAGGGAAGATTGAGCCATGGAGTGAAAAATAATTATGGTTATTAAAATCTTAGGCAGAACACATCACCGTCTTGCCTGTTTTACATAAAATCAGAGTTCGCCTATTTTCCATTTTGTTAGTTGATCATTATCTGTTTCATGTCCATTTACCCTGAACATATCAAAGGGTTTGGCTATTTTCAGTGATCGCTACAAGCTCTGTTATAGTGATACAGGCATTGTTTTCGTCTGACCAAAAATATTTGATCTGCTTTTTGTGCTATATATTAGCTGCTGGTGCAACCTAAACTTTGTTACCCAGAGATTGACTCAGACCCCACAGACTACAGGAATGAACAGACTGAGGTACACTAAGGAGGATGAGGTTTTCATGGAAAAGGTCCTAAGGATGTCATTCCATTCTTTGTGACATTAAGGGTCCGCTGTCAACTACTTGCTGTAGTTCTGTGTTGCTTTTTTTATATTCATATATTCTCAAATGCAGCCACAGTCATACATGTATACTTCTATCCTACTATTGAAACATTGTTGCAGTAGATCTTCTTCTACACTGCTGCACTAGCTACACAGTGGGGCTTTAGGACAGAGACATGTGGCCCATGAAATTTAAAGAGGTGGGATTTCAGCTTTCTCCATGAAAGCAGAGAGATTCTGCATTGATGAGCGTATTCATACAAAAAAATAGCTGTTATTTATGCCAAACTGTCAGTCAGAATAAATCAGAACATTGAAACAAAACAAAAATTAGCATAATTATACAAAATAAACAGTCTATCAGGATGTGCAAACTAAATTAGGATTGTGTGAGACTCAAAGGACACAGACAAGGGATTGACAGTCTAATATATAAAACTTACACGGAAAATACCAAACAGAGTCATAGAGAGTCTTCTGGAAACTGTCCGAGAAATGTCAAGGGTGAAAAGTCAGCTTGTTTTTCCCTCCACAGGAGAACAGTTTTATGTTCAGCGCTGTAATGAGGTTCTGCAAATTAAGTTCCTGAGAACATTTACTTCTGGCTGGCTTCCTCATGAAGTTCACTGGTCAGTCTATTTGACGTGTACAGTCATTAACCTTATTGTCTTATGAAGAACATCAGCGAGGCTGATGCACTTCAGTTTTAGCAACTTCTCATGTGAAATTATTTATATTGGCTGCTCTTTATATGTGTATCTCATCAGCATTTTCTTACCGCTCTTCCTGGTGAGAGTCACGGTGACAGCAAGTCAGACCATACATGTTTTTCCACGGTCATTCAATCTTTATGTTTTTTCAAACCATCTGGAAGACAACCGCCCCCCTCCCCAGCAGAAAAAAAAAAGCATGCCCTGGGTCTTTCTTTCCCAGGACCCCTACCCAGCGAGGCATGCCTGGAACAGCTGTCCAGGTGGCACACACACACACACACACACACACACGTGCATGTCGGGTAAACATATCTTTATGGGGACCGCTCACACATGCACACACACACACACACACACACACACACCATATACGCCTCTCAGAATGAGGGTTTGCATCCTGCCTCTAGGGGCACGTATGTGCATATGGGAAGTTCTGCCCCATTCCCTGTCTTGCTGCTGGTTCCCATTGAGTATGGCAGTTTACTCTTGCAAATAAAAAATATTTGGTTGGGTAAACTGGTTTCTCTAACTTGCCTGTAGCATGAGTTTGCATCACTGCCCCTGGTCTCATTCCCTGTAGTACTGATATTCTGTAGGCTCATGGATGTCAATTGATGCTTCTTTATACTGTTGTTCTTGTTTTTATGCTTTTCTGTTATGGTTTTTAATTATATTTTAACTGTTTGGATGTCTCTTTGGTGATCTAAAAAATAAAGGGATTTATGAAGTACTGTAAGTCCTCTTGGGAAGAATCAATAAAGTCCCATCCCTTCCCTTCGTTTCCCATCCCTTCTCGTCCCATCCCTTCACTTCTTGTCCTGTCCCTTCCCTTACCTTCCCTTCTCTTCTTGTCCTGTCCCTTCCCTTCCCTTCTCGTCCCTTCCCTTACCTTCCCTTCTCTTCTTGTCCTGTCCCTTCCCTTCTCGTCCCTTCCCTTACCTTCCCTTCCCTTCTCTTCTTGTCCTGTCCCTTCCCTTCTCGTCCCTTCCCTTCCTTTCCCATCCCATCTCATGCTATCAGTTATTAGTTGCTGTTCTTATTCTGAATGATTTACAGCCCAGTGTGACTCTGGAATTACACTGTATCTTTTGTAATCTCTTGAATGATCTTGTGTGTCATTGGTAGACGTCTGAGGTGACAAATGTAGTTTTCAAATGGAATAACAGCCCACATTGTCCTAAGCCATTTAAACTTTTTTTTTTTTGCTATCCTGTCAAATCTGAACACAAGCTAATTCAAAAAATAGTTCAAAATATATATTTATAGCAATGCTTTTGCTACATGCCTACACTTTTGCTGGCTAGTATTAAGAAAACCCCAAACAAGCAATTTAACAGTTTAGAGGCGCAGGGCAGTTCAATAAGTGGCAAAGACAGGATATTTGTGATATTAAGTCCCCAAGACTAATGATTTGTTCAGCAATTGGCTAAGACTGAACCCATCGAGACCCAGATAATGTCAACCTTGTATTATTACCTAGAAGTCAATGCAAGTCAGCATGATCTTCTCCTTAGCTGCTAATCCAGGGCTTGGTCCGCACCATGGAAAACGATGAGTCGAGGGATGTATTATCATCAATTCATTGATGGAAAGCGACACCGTTAATATGCATTTCCAGGTGTGTTGGAGTAGATACATAGTATCATGGGCTATAGTCTTCAGCAAATGAATGCCTCAAGAAGGTACATAAGAAATGGAGTAGAAAATAGTGTGCTGCAGGCTTGACTGCTTCTTGGTAAGTGTATGAATACATTTATGCAGTGCTCGCTCGCACACTTATCTGTGCACTGCGATTTCTGACAAAACATTTGTCTCAGACTGCTGCCGAGATAAGTTACTGCTTTGCCTCTGAGAGGAAACTGCTTGCATTTTGAAAGAGAATCATGAAGACAGCAGGTGATACAGTGTTCTGGGTATAACACAGTGCCCCCCCCCCTCATTTAAGCCCCAGAGGTACAGCCAAGCAGATTGGCTCTGCACCGGAGAGATGTGTTGACTTTATTAGTGAATCCAGAGATGATGATGTTTCATTATTGCAAGCTGGAGGGTCTGCCTGAGCGTTTATATCAGCCATGACAGTGCATTTCACTGACCACAGATGATTCTCCCCTTTTGTCTCCAGGGCACCTGGATATTCAATAAGCTACTGCATGCTTGCTGCGTTAAAATATATTGCAGTTTTTAATATTCTATGGAATATGTAAGCAAAATTTCAAATAATTGAAAAAGTAAAATACCTGTCATATAAATGTACAACAGCTTATTTGACAGCTAAATTCATGTACTGGCAAGTCAAATAAATTTGTCACATGGTGTTTAAAATTATAATCCACATTGTGTAATTGTTCGGTGTCTGAAACTGGTCACTTTTGTGCACCTACAAGGTTGAAAGCTCTTATCTGCAGAGGTTAATGAGCCAGTTGCTTGAATGAAGAAAACTGACAATTTATTATTACAGATAGAATAAAACTGCTAAGAAATATCAAGTGAAGCAGGAAGAGGCTCTCTTACAGAAGTATGATAATCAGCTATGTCAGTGAAGTACTGGCCCAGGCAAATGGCCACAGCAGTGCTTAAAATGGGATGATCCAGTGTCCCATCTCAGTGATTCAGCTCAAGGTTTCCTTCTGAGCTCTCCCGTGTTATGAAGCGTTGATCTGCCTGGCCTTAAATTCTACTTGTTATTGGGGGGCCATTTCATTTTATGACCTCTTGTAGCCTGTGATGTACATCAGTGGCGGTGTAGAAATTGCAGCTTCTGTAACCTTTTGGGAAAAGAATGCAGTTTGCTGTCATTTATCTCACAGGGAAGTTAGAAAACAAAAAGAGATGAATAAGATTCCCCTGAATCATTCAACCATTACGCTAAAAACTGAGACGTAATAAGATGATAATCCATGGTTATACATTTTTAAATACACAATTTATTAATGTTTATCTTTAAATCAAATGAAGAGATTCAAAGGCACCTAAAAGTGTAATTAAACAGCAATAATATCGCCGAGATGTTCGAGTCTTTTCAGCCTCACCTTGGACTTATTGTTAACCTAAGTGAATTTGCTGCAGTCAATCCTCTGTATCCAATTGTCTGTTATAGAAATGACTGCAAATCCTCATTTATCCGAATGAAGACTTGATCTGCTAATGAAAATATTTACAGTGTTAACAGTAATAGTCACATTTATAGTTGAAAAGTAAAACCACAAAAGAATACTCACCCCTCGTGTGTTCAGTTTGAAACAACATTCGTTATGTGATTGTTGAAATTAGTATATTTATTTATATTTTAAAATGTCAGGGTCGAATCTGAGACTCCTGCTTGCAGTGCTAACAAATCATTATGTTTTGTAAACTTAATAGTTCACAAAACATATTAGACTACTGAAGCAAACACTGTTCACTGTCGTGCCTGAAGCAAGTCTTACAGTCATCTCTGTCATTTTTGAAAATGCTCCTTTCAAATTGACCTAGCTACTCCATTTCAGTGACTCATTCTTCTTTTTATTATTTTTTTATTTATAGCGGGAACAGGAAATAGGCTAATGTTTAACAAGCTAATAGTTTGCATTTTTTTTCCAGTCTGTGCTTTGCATACACATTTTACTAAAAATCCAATCATGAAATCTTAAATAAAAAACTTTTTTTTTTTGTTTTTCCAACAGAGTATATACATGTGTCTTTTTTATCATTGGATCTTATTCTATTATTTCAAATATTTCTATTCTTTCTTATGTGAGAGCTATCGCTTTTTAAAAATAGTACTTTGAACCAAGACTCTTTAAATATAAATTTAGGTGCTTCACTTTCAGGCATGTCATAAAAGTATTTCTCCAATGAAAGCTACATCTGCCTAGTTTCATCTGTTGAAGGATAAGACCTCATTTTCCAGTCCCGAGAGCCTCCAAGATAAAACCCATACGTGCTTTTTTCATGAACATAATTTCACAGAAGAATATACCAAGAAGATGAATGAATGTCATAGATCCATACATGCAGAAGATCTACCCACATACTTCTTGTTAGCTTAAGAAAAAACATGCTAAGCTTTGTTTTGATGCTGCCGTTTGTTTGACTGATTACCACCGTCGTACGAGCGCCTCATCCCTTATCCTGCGGGCTGGCACATTTTGAATGCACATAAGATGAGAGCTCATCTGTGCCGCCTGCGACCAAAGCTCTGCTGTGGCGAAGAAGCCGTGCGTGGAATGCCCATCAAGCATGTGCGAATCCCATGTCTGAGACTCTCAGAAGGCATCTTTTGTCACTTCTTTCAGGACAAAAATGATAACACGTTATTCCTAACAGCAGAAAGTGCTTCATCCCCAGTAGGCCTTCCGCGCAGCAGCAGGCCGACCTCCCCTTTATCGCTTACGGATCGTATTACGATACGCCTGCCTAATTACTCCTCCCCCAGCGAGGCCCCCGAGATGTATAAACCCTTTGCCGTCTTGATTCTTTCAGCTTTTTTCCCAGTGTTCCCAGAATAATCCTCGCTATTTAGTTGACTTCCATCGAGGCTGTCCCTGTCTTGTCCTCTGTGCCTCCAGGGACTCCAGCCCAAATGCTGCTCTGAATATGTACTGAATATGCAGTTAAAGAAAATGGTTTGATGGAAAGATAGATGGAGAGATGGATGGATGGATGGATTGATGGGTGGGTGGCTGGATAGACGGATGGGTAGATGGATGGATGGATGATTATAATGTGTTTCAGAACAGAAGAGGATGATAGGAGTTTAAACATGCAGCTTAGACATGTCACTGTCACTTGCTACATTTAATACTTGTTATGCTACATAAAAGATACACTATCATATTGCTGATTATTTTTTTGTTCCGTCAGTCTATTGTGCGTGTGTTTTTTTAAAGATATACTTGGATATAAATCCCAGTATTAGACTTAAATAGAATAAAAAGAATCCATTCCTAATGTACATGTGATGCAGTGGAGAGGAAATTTATTTATTGAGGGTTTTTTTCTAATTTGTCCAGTAAATGGTTCCAAGTAGTTAAATTAGGAATGCCCTCTATGTAAAAGCATAGGCTTATCCATTACCAATTTGTTAACACCTAATTGCTGCGTTTATACTCACCAGGACATTCCACATCAGAAGAAGCCTAAAAACAGAGTGATTAACCTAAGATGCGCGCCACTGCAGTATGACACTGGATGATGACATGATGAATTGTAGGGGTACCAGTAACAACAGACACATCTCAGCATACACAGAGAGTGAGCTGACTCATCAGTCTCAATCACCTTTGGTAAAAGGGAGGAGATAAGATTCCTGGCAGAGATGCCTTTTTCTGAGCCAACCAAAGGAAGGCTTCCCCACTGCACTCCGCCCACCAACACATACAGACACACGCACGGTTCCTTCCGGCCTCTGGATCGCAGTAATGCACCGATGCTGCCAAAGACTCCATCGGCTTAATGAAGTATCAAAGCACAGGGGTGAGGTCTGGAGCCACATTTAATAAGATGTCAACCAAGAGGCGATGACAGTTAGCGATGACACGGGAGTGAGCAGGCAGCCTGCTGATGCGCAGCTGGCTGTATGCAGGTGGTTACGATGAAACGTGATGGCAAATGCAGAAGTTTGTTTATGATTAGCCTATGTTGCCTTACAGCGGTGGTGTCCAACCATTTTTACAATGAGAGCTACTTTTAAAGAAAATATTTTGGCCACCGAATTGCAACAGCATATTTCTCCAATGGGGGGAGCTAATACAGAGCATTGTTGATGAATAATTATTGATTAATAATTCCGCAGTTCACATGGATACATGCTGCCATCGATCAGTAGATCACGATCGACCAGCAGATCGCAATGGGTAGCTTGGGCAATCCTACCTTAAGGCCTTAAAAGGAATTTAAAACAACAACTTTGACCTCCATTATCCATCTTATAACTGCTTGTTCTGAATCCTATCAGGCAGCAGTTTGCAGGCCTGGCTTCACCGAGGAAGATGGTGGCGCGGGAGCGTACCAGACACGTGGAGAACACTCACACTCCACACATGCGGAGTGGAGCTGGGATTCTAACCCCCAACCATTGCACCCTACTGCTCACACTAAACAATCAACATACACAATTTATAAAACAGAGATCGAAGGATGGTGCAACCACAGCTGGAGACCGAGATTTGATCCCCCACCCAGGGGGTTTGCATGATCTCTCTGTGTCATCGTGGGATTTTCTCCAGTCTCCCCCCACAGTCTAAAAACACGCTAAGGTGAATTGCAGTTGCCAAATTGTCTGTAAGGGTGAATGGTGTGAGGGCCCTTCGATTGACTGCCACCTCATCCTGGGTTATTCCTTACCGGGTGTTTCTGGGATAGTCTCTGGACCCCTGTGATCCGGACTAGCAGTATAGAAAAGGAATGGATGAAAACAGAGGCCCATAAAGTCTATCTCAGTAAATCATAGCTTTGTCTAACTTGCTAATTCGAATGAAGGTTGATTCTTTTTTCAGGGGTATTAATAATACGGATTGAAAGATCTCTCATACTTAACTGAAATATGCTTCTCATGCACACTAATGTTGGAGTCTTGAAGCAACAGTCTGTCGATCAGTAGCACTTCACTGCTAGCTCAAGAGATATGCATTCTTAGAACTAAGGCTTTCAAATGAGATCTTCTTGGTGTTGGAGTCAGGCAGAATGATAGATTCCCATAAAGGAAGAAATCAAAGAACCAGGGCACTTTTATTTGTAAGAGTACAGTGGGAGGCAAAGGTTCTGAGACTTTTACTTAGTTATGTATTCATATACTGTACCAGCCCTTGGTTTCACATGTGAAAACGGGAGCTACACTGTACAGTATATAAGCTGTTTGTTTAGGATGGAGCAGACCTGACACATTTTGGAAAAACAAGCTACCTGGCAATTATAACTTTGAGTTTGTGGCACAATGTTTATAACCTGTTTATTTTGCAATCTTCCTTGCTACCTTTGCTGCAGGCCCTGCTGTAGAACAGTCAGAAAATGCACAATATGGTCCTGGTGATGCTCTATTCTGATTGGCTGTGGCTGTCAAACACAGGGTGACAGGACCCTCTCCTTGGCAGGATTTTTCTTTAAAAATCTTTACCCTTTTTCTGTTTTCAAGGATTTTTTCTCCTCTGGCTGGATTCAGGGAGTATGATTAATATGCGACTAAATGGCCTTTGTTTCACCTCCGTCTTCAGTCTGTTCTATTGCCATTGGACTGGCTAAGCATTACACTGCTTTCCAGCAATCAATGCACCTGAGCACAAGGTACGTTTTGACCAGAGGGGGAACGAAAAAAAAAATCCTATCAGCCCACAAATGTCACTTTGAGTATCTGCTCTGACTCCCCTGCATTTGGCTTCACTTGGATCCTTTGTAATAGAACTATTGCAGTATGATATGGAGCTTGGTCAGGAAATATAAAAGGTAAAGCAATAGCAGTGAATTAGCCTGTTTCCAACTGAAGGTTAATATTGTCTAAAGCAGTGTTTGATAGCCTGCAGCAACATGCATTATTAATTTCTTAGTGAACACGGTGACAGATTTCCCCCATAGTGACTCATTCTGCTTGCTTGTACAGTACCTGAGAGCAGCAGCCGTTCTCTTCACTCTTCAATAGTATATTTAAATAATTACTTAATCATATTGAGTGTGAATGGAAATGAAAAGTTACAGCAATATTTTTGTCCTTTTTTCAGTGCACTTTAACCTATTTTCCATTATTATTTTTACTACTTGTTGAGGATGAAATAATTTCCTTCCTTCCTTCCTTCGCTCTGGTTCTTTCCCGTGCTGCTATTTTCCATGAGATTATTCCGGTTAGTAAAATATGTCTCGATATGACCAAATACAGTCTCATTATCATTAGTATTTTTCTGTTATACTATGTACACGATAGGCTGCTCATGTCAGGTACAGTGGGCCTAAGTCTCTAGTTTTCTTAGTGTCAGGATATTTAAAAAGTTACAAATATTTGCTCTGGTGGATATAATCAATGGATTCCTTCCCAATAATTTTTTTTCTACATGAAAATAACAGAACTGCATCGTTCAAGTCTGAGGCTATAAGGCATGTTTACGATATGATAGCTCAATGTATAACTTTGTGGTATAAATCAAAGCTCCTTACCTGTTCATAGCTTTCTGTCCACGTCATGGCGGATTTCAAGACAGCAAAATAATGGCTGTCAGGATCTCTGTAATCAAATGACATGCATTCTGACATTCGGCAATCAGTAAGGAGTATGGCAAACACGCATGGCAGTTCAATTTGAATGCTAAGAGTGCGCCTGAAGTCAGATTAGAGCAATTGTCGGATGAAGACAAGCTACAATTAGAGGTGCTCTGTGTTTTTATGGAAATCAAAATCAACTGCTACCATTTTTGATTCACACGCTGTTTGATGTAATATGCCACTTGATGTCAATTTAAGTCGAGTCCAATTCTACAGGGCCTGGAAGGTGGCAGTGAGAAGACACTAGTAAAAATGTGTTTTACGATGAATATGTGAGGTGCACTCACAATGCAAACAGCCATATGCAAAGAGCCATGGATATACAGCCATGGGAAAAATTAAGAGATCACAGCACATTGTTTTTCTTTCACTCACTTCTCAATTTATTGGTGAACGTCTATGAATATATATTTTTTTCTGCAAACTGCAGCCTGGCTCTTCCCTGCTTCTCATGGATGAAGAGCTTCTTCCTGGCTTTATGGAACTTCAGTCCTGCTTCTAGGAGCCTGATGCAAACTGTCCTAGCAGTGCACTTCACACCTGCACTTAATGTTTCCCATTCCTTTTGAAGGTCACCTGATGTTATCCTACGATTCATGAGAAACTGTCGGATAAGTTAACAGTCATGTCTGGCATTGGGAAGTCGTTTCAGCCCTCTGCCTGGCTGGTTTCTGGTCATTCCCAGTATCTCCTGCTTCACCTTGTATTCTTCTGCCAGCAGAACCACGAGTAAACCAGGATTTTAAAATGCAGATTTGTTTAAAAATATAGCGTGGTCTCTTCATTATTTCCATGGCTGTATTTAATGGAATATATTTATTGTGGTTTGCTGGTATTTGAGCACTGACGGAGCAAATACATAGGTTTGAAACAAAAAATACAGAAGCCATTTCAAGCAGAGATAAAGGAGAATTTTTTATATTCAGGTGTAACATCTGAACCAAGAGGCACAGCTAATTCTCAGGACTGGCATCTCTTCAAGTTTACTTGTGACAAACAAACCAAAGCATAGCAATGCATGGTGAATATGGAGACGAAGGGGCAAATTAAACTAGTGAGCACCACAATCACCGGACCTTGGACATTCCCTATTTCCCATGCAAGACAATCCTTGTTACAGAATATTTATATTATAATAAAGATTTGCTGAAGATAGAGCTGGCCGAAAGAAGAGAGAGCCTCACCAAAATACACAGAACTTTCTGGGCTTCTCATTGTACAGTGGTTCCTGAATTGCACACAACATAGGACAATTGAAAATAAGAAGAAAATGCAAAACACTTAAGAAAGTGAACAGAGCAAAAAAAACTATTATAAAACACAAAATATTGAGAAAATACAAATCATTAACAAAACACTAAATACTCTTTTTTCCAGAATGTCTTGTGTTTTCATTCATTTATTCATTCGTCTAGTCATATATTTGTTTGTTTTCTGAAATGCTTTGCATTTCTGTATTTAAAAAAAAAATTCTTAATGCTTTGTACTTTCAGTTTGTGTGCGTGTGTGTGTGTGTGTGTGTG